CACTATGTTAACCCTCCTGTTCTCTCCAAATATAGTCCAAAGGGGCCTTTAAACATCAGACTGACCCACTATATTGATGATGGGGCCCACAAAGAGGACCAGTGCTTACCGGGCCTCTTTGGATTTGTAAACAGATACAACATACTCGAGAATACTGCTCTAGACCATTTATTGGGTGTCTCAGAGGCTATCAGCTCTTAGACTATTTCTCACTTTAACAGTATCAACTGAGAAACCAAAAATGCACATATTCTATGATATCAGTTCCACAGCAGGAATACACCCAAAAGAAATCTCTGCATCATAATGCATGAATAAGAATTGTTGGGAGCTGCCACATAGGAGCTCTGAGCGACCCCTAGTTTTGACCAATGGAAATGTGGAGACTGGCTTCCCTGCATGCTTATGCAGGTGGATCCCCATCTCCACTCAGCAGAGGAGCAAAGCTTTGGAAGTAGGCATTACCCAATGGAATGGGCTGCATTCTGTTCCTTTGTAATACTACCCCTTACTTTTTTTGGACAGAATTTTCCATCGAACCTCCCCATGTATACCTCCTATAAAATAAGAATTCAGGTGGCTCTCTCTTTCCAATGGACCCCTAAAGTCAAGAGCCATCACTGGACCCTAAGAAAAAGGTATTTTCCATCTGTGTAATTATTTCATGCCAACCCAAATTCACCTGTGGTGACCCTGAATGATTTAGCCACATATCATAGCAAAGAATGTTCCTAACATCTGTGGAAACAACACAAAATTCCATCAACAGTACAATGAATAAATAAAACTGTGATGTAGTCATATAGCAGAATACTATTCATCAATAAAAATTAACCGTTATTACAATAACAGACGAATTTCACAAACATAATGTTGAGGGAAGAAAAAAACAGAAGTAAATGAGCCTTTGAGTCATTCCACTTACATTAAATTCATAAACCACCAATTAATCTATGTGTTAAAAGTCAAGATGGCAGTCACATTTTGTGAGGTGGAAATTGGGAGGAGGCACATGGTTGTAGGGCGCTTCCAGAGCATTGCAGATGTCTGTTTCCTGATTGGGGTGGTAGTTATGTGACTAAAGTTCACCTCTTGATGAGTGCAAAACCAATAAGCACAACCAGGAGACAGAGGAATGAAGAGAAATTTCCTGCTTGCTGCAGGGAGAGCCCTGGAGTTCATTTGTAAAGTCATCTTCTCCCCAGGGAAAGCAAGGGGTTTTTACCAGGGGAAACTTACACATATTCATAGAAGACTCACCATCACATGCAGAGGCAAGCATCTCAGGTCAAGATCATAATCACACACTCAAAATAAAATGGCAGATGTGACTGCCTCTGGGCAAAGAATTTAGTGTTATAACAAAGTTTATTCTAAGTCACAAATAAAAATGAGTCAGAGTGACTCAGTGATTTTGGCTGGTTCCTTATAGGTTTCTCCAGAAGAGTTTTAGCTCAAACAAAAAGAAAAAAAAACTTTGAAGGAACACTGAAGTCTCTCTTAAAGGGGCTGCAGTTTCTGCCCTCCCCACACATACACCACTCCCACCAAATACAGGAGATTCTCCCTAAGTGCCTGCCTTGCTTGGTGAGTAACAAGTGCAGGCACATGTTCACCTCGTGATATCTCACTGGGACATATTAGCATTACACTGCAGCTAAAAGTTTGTTTTTCACTGGGTTTTTTTAAAAGTCAGTTTTCAATCCCTCCAAGTAATTTGGCTACCTAATTTCTAGTCAACATTTAACTCTTGCTTTTTAGTGGCTTCACTTTTTTGTCTTCCAGCCAATTATACTACATTTTTAAAAGGTATATTTTTACTGTTGGCAGTCTTTTTGACATGCTGGTTAATCACAAAGAAAGATATTTTACATGCTTGGGAACATTGATCCCGAAATTTTTATTTCTTGAGCTTTCACTGTATCTGTAATTTACAGGGTTCTTATAGACTGTTGCCTTTTAATAGCCTGTTTTTCAATTTTTCATTAACTAATTTCCCTATTATCTCAGTTACCTCCATTATCCCGCAAGGATGTTGAATTTAATTAGGCATAAACACTACTACTAAAGGAATTACAGCTAACACCTGGCCTGGTTTATATCCCAGTCTATCTCCACATCCCAAGATCTTAAAACATCATCTTCATTTTCCACCATTTGTCTCCTTAACTATTTAAAGAGTAGTACTGTTAGCACAAAAGGACCCACGCCATGCAAACTCCATGGATCAGCATAGCCTTTATTCAGAAACAGAATTACCTCAAATGGACCCACTCCCCTGGTAGAAAATGAGCCCCTGAACAAAGGAGGGGACTAGACTTATATAGGTTATACTGAGAGGTGACTTAATTAATGTACTTGTCAGTTTGGGGCACTTAGGAATTTGGGGTCTGTCTTACTGGAAGAGATGGGGGACATCTAAGGTCAGCAGTCAATTTTGGGCACTCAGTAAACAGGCTTGTGAGAATTTGAAATTTTGTTTGTACTGGGCAAGTTTTACTTGGAGAAGAATGGAGAGTCTGGGGTCAGCACTCAGTGTGTATCTCTTTCCCTTCAGGGTCCCATGGTACTGTTACTGGGAAAGGATTTATTTGGGGAAAGATCAAATATTTTGGCTTCCTTTCTAGAGATCATTCTGCCACTGGAAAGAATCAATGTCATCAATGTGCTGCTTTTTCTTTGCTCCCTCTGCCCAGGTAATGATATTTTGGGGTTTGTCATTTTCCATATCTAATACTGTTTATATTAAATTAACAGCTTCTCTGATCTCATTTTTTACTCTGTTTTCTCAGACAGGTCAGGTGATCCACAAGAGAGTACGTCCACTTTTTTATATGCATGTTTCACCTACAAAATTGCAAATAACAGAAGTATACTTCACAGGCTGGGTTGTGGCTCAGTGGTGGAGTGCTTGCCTAGCATATGTGAGGCACTGGGCTCGAGTCTCAGCACCCCATATCAATAAATAAAATAAAAGTACATTGACAATTTGAAAATTAAAAAAAAAAAGTATACTTTGCTTCTCACCACCTCACCCACTCAATGGATGCCAAATTTGTTTTAGTAGGTCAGTGAATGGATGTCTTATTCATCTGACAATGATCTTTCCTAAAGCAAATTCCACGAGTACATTATATTGTCACGAGAGTGGGGTGTTGAAGCCCCAAACCTCCATTTTTGTGTCCCAATGTGAGAAAATTTAAAGTCAGACATGAAAAGACAAGCAAGAGAATTTTATTATGAGTGACAGTGTAGTAAGAGCTCTCCTGGAACAAAGAGAAAATGAGGCTCTCAGTTGGAGTCTATATGCGCAAGGTGTACAACTCTCCAGCAACTCTGTCCCGACTGTTACAATGTATGATACCGTATAGAGGAAATAAAGGATCTAACATGTAAAGGGGGAACTAGCTGAAGATATATAAGGCAACATCCCACTGCAGTCCAGGCTCAACTTTTGGATGCTAACCTTCTGGGCTAGTGCTGGCTCTAATAAATACTGCTTCCTGCTGACAGTCTTATCTCTCTGTGCCAGAATCCCACAACAAAAGTAAAGAAGTAAGAGTAAGTGGGTCAATGCCCAGCAGAGAACAACAAAGGAAACAATGCTGTCTCCAAATTTATTACTGTTTGAGGTTTACCAAAAGTACTGGGATCCACCTTCTGCCATCTTTACCAATAAGATGTCTATCTCCTCTCACATCAGGTAGGAGAGTTTTTGACCCCAGTAGTTCCCCTCAGGAACTGTCCTGGAAACCATCCTGTTCAGGGAGACTTCAGCTACAAGTCAGCTAACACCTGGCCTGGTTTATATCCCAGTGTATGTCAATTCTATGTTAGTGCAGGTGCTGGGATCAATAACTGAGAAGACTTCATATTAGTGCAACTGAGCTATCAATGAAACTTCTCTTCTGAAATACATTGAGAAATCTGTGTCCATAAATCCTAATTTTACAATGACCTCAGTAGACCCTGTCAGGAGTTATTCCCATTGATCTTTCCTTTTTCATGTATTTCTTAATCAACTTCCTTTGTTTCTACATGTTTATTCCACAGGTGTTTATACACCTGTTGTTGTTCTACAAGCTACTTGATTGTTCATTAAAAGCAATTCAATGAAACCCATGACGCTGCTTTGTTATTAGTTCATATTTCACTGTTCGTTACTAACTACTACCTAACAATGTCAAAAAAAAATCCACAAACATATTTTTTACGTAAGAATGTGATTTCCTCCCATAGACATTTTACAAATTTTTGCTTCAAGATTATTCATGTCTTCCCAGCACATAGCATCCCCTCCTTATTTCATTCTGGAATTATGTCCCATGAACCATCTTCCCATTACATCCCTGATCATCAGATATGTTGTAAAGGATTTCTGTCTCCTGTTTAATAATCTGCAGTCCAGCAATGAAATAGGAGGATCATTTGTCACCTGGTTCCTGGCCTAGCTTCTCCTGCCTCCTTTACTTGTTACAATGTTGATCGGTCTTTTGACAAAATGTCCAGTTACTGTTGCTGTGCTACAAACTGTTCCAAATCTAATGGCATAAAACAATCTTGGTATTGTTTCATGGATTCTAGGGTTCAGGAATTCATACAGGGAACAATGGTGATACCTGTTCTCAGCTCCATGAAGACTGGTGCCTCACCCTGAAAGACTTAAAGGCTGATGACTCAATAGGGGCAGATGTCACCAGCAGTATCTTCATTCACACATCTGGCATCTCTCTCCTTCCCACCCCACCTTGGTTAGGGCCTGCTGCTCAGCTAGGCTTTTCCTTGTAGTCTATCTCCATGAGTTACTTTTTACTTCCTCATAGCTTAGTGGGTGGATGCTAAGAATGAGCATCTCAAAATAATAAGGTGGAAGTGTGTGATATGTTTAAGATCTAGTCTTGGAACTCATATTATCTAAGGCAGTCATAAATTTCCATCCAGGCTCAAGGGAAGGGACATGCCATCCACTTCTTGATAGGGAATGAAAAGATTCCAGAAAAGCATGTGAAACCAAGACATTGTTGCAGTCATCTTTGGAAAATACAATCTGCCATAAAAAGCTCTTATACCAATCTCAGCCTCATGTTCTGCATCCTCTAGTTTCTCCTAAATTTGGAGATGATGATGGTGATGATGATGACGATGATTATAATTGTTGACATTTATCAAATCTACACACTGTGAACTGCTGTAGAAGAGTTAAATATATTAATTAATTAATTGGTAAATTATGAGAGAGCTACCACTGTTATTTTCATTTTGCAAATAAGGAAACTAAAAGAAAGAGAGGTTAAGAAATTTGCCCATCACAGAAGAAGAAATATGAATAGTCAAAAATACATGAAAAAATGTTCAACATCTCTAGCAATAGAGAAATGAAAATTAAAACTACAGTGAGGGGCTGGGGCTGGGGCTCAACGATAGGGCACTTGCCTGACATGTGTGAGGCACTGGATTTGTTTCTCAGCACCACATATAAATAAATAAAATAAAAGTCTATCAACAACTAAAAAATACATTTTAAAAAAACTACAGTGAGATTCCATCTCACTCCAGTCAGAATGACAATCAGCAAGAATACAACTAATAATTAATGATGGCCAGGATGTGGCAGGGAAAAGGTACATTCATACATTGCTGATGGGACTGCAAATTGGTGCAACCACTCTGGAAAGCAGTATGGAGATTCCTCAGAAAACTTGAAATGGAATCACCATTTGACCCAGCTATCCTATTCCTTGGTTTATACCCAAAGGACTTAAAATCAGCATACTACAGTGTGACACAGCCACATCAATGTTTACAGCAGCTCAATTCACAATAGCTAAACTATGGAACCAACCTAGGTGCCCTTCAACAGATAAATGGATAAAGAAAATGTGGTTTATACACACAATGGAATATTACTCAGCCATAAAGAAAAGTGAAATTATGGCATTTGCTAGTAAATGGATGGAACTGAAAACTATTATGCTAAGTGAAATAAGCCAATACCCAAAAACCAAAGGCTGAATATTCTCTGATATGCAGATGATAACACATAATGGGGGGGCAGTGTCTAGAAGAATAGAAATACTTTGGATTAGACAAAGGAGAATAAAGGGAAGAGAAAGGACAGTAGAATGAACTGGACATTATTTTCCTATGTTCATAAATAAATATATGACCAGTGTAACTTTACATTATATACAACCATAAGAATAGGAATTATACTCTATGTATGTATAATGTTAAAATACATTCTACTGTCATGTATAATTAAAAAGAACAAATAAAAATTCTTTTAAAATATTACTCAGCCATAATTTCAGAAGAATGACATTATGGCATTTGTCAGTAAAAGAATGCAACTGGAGACTCTCGTGCTAAGTGAAATAAGTCAATCCCAAAAACCAAAGGCCAAATGTTCTGATATGTGGATGCTAATACACCATAAGGGGAGGAGGGAAGAACAGAAGTTCATTGGATTAGACAAAGGGGAATGAAGGAAGGGAGAGGGATTGGAATAGGAAAGACAGTAGAATAAATCAGTCATAACTTTACACAACCAGTGTTAACTCCACATCATGTTCAACCACAAGAATGGGATCTAATTAGAATAAATTGTGCTCTATGCATGTATAATATGTCAAAATACACTATCCAGCCATGTATTTCTAAAAAGAACAAATTTTTTAAAAAGAAAGAAAGACCCAGATGCCCTTCAATAGATGAATGGATAAAAAAAAATGTGGCATCTATACACAATGGAGTACTATGCAGCAATAAAAAATGACAAAATCATAGAATTTGCAGGGAAATGGATGGCACTAGAGCAGATTATGCTTAGTGAAGCTAGTCAATCCCTAAAAAACAAATACCAAATGTCTTCTTTGATATAATGAGAGCAACTATGAACAGAGCAAGGAGGAAGAGCAGGAAGAAAAGACTAACATTAAACAGAGTCATGAGATGGGAGGGAAAGGAAGAGTAAAGGGAAATTGCATGGAAATGAAGGGAGACCCTCATTGCTATACAAAATTACATATAAGGAGAGTAATGAATTACAGTAGATGGGGTAGAGAGAGAAGATGGGAGGGGAGGGGAGGGGGGATAGTAGGGGATAGGAAAGGTAGCAGAATACAACAATTACTAATTGGGCATTATGTAAAATTGTGGATGTGTAACCGACGTGATTCTGCAATCTGCATTTGGGGTAAAATTGGGAGTCCATAACCCACTTCAATCTAATGTATGAAATATGATATGTCAAGAGCTTTGTAATGTTGTGAACAACCAATAAAAAAATAAAAAATTTAAAAAAAAAAAAGAAGAAACTACCTAAATAAATTGAAAAAAAAATAAAAAGAAAGAAAGAAACCTGCCTAGAGTCACTAAAGTGTTACCGAGAAGAGAGGGAATTTGAACCCAGGACCTCTTCTTCCAGGGCCTATACTTCTAACCACCATTCTTTAATTTATCTAATTAATACTAATAAAGCATCTACAAAATGAAGAATTTTTTTTTCAAGTTCAAGGGTAAAGCAAACAATGAATAGATAAAAGTCCAGCCCTTATAAAGTTTGTATTCTAGTAAGAGGAGACAGATGGCAGGCAAGTAAATTCATGAAAAATGAGATGAAATGTAAAGAGGGATAAAGGTGGTAGGAAGTTTCAGAGGTGAAACTTACTTAAAATATGCTGATCAAACAACATCTCATAAGACATCAGATTAGAGACCTGAAGGAAATGAGGTCTGGGAGAGCCAGGTGGATATTTGGAGGTATGGCATCTCCAGCAAGGAGGAGCAAACAGGCCCTGAGGCATAAACAGGTTTGGTGTGTTCAACTAAAGTGTCAGGTGGCTTCAGCAAGATAGGCATTAGGGAGAGTAACAGGCGGTGAGGTCACAGAGACAGGTGAGGACCAGATGGCTGCAAGTCTTAAAGGTCATAAGATCTTTGGCTTTTACTCTGAAAGCAGAGAGGACTCAGAGCAGAGGAGTGATATGATATGATTAAAAATTTTATAAGTATCTAATCCATGTGAATAGGCACCATGTGGATTAGGAACTGTAAGGAAGCAAGAATTGGAGCAGGTAAATAAAATAGAAGTTCTGATCATAATCCAGGCAAAGGACAGCATTAGCTTGAGCCAGGTGGTAACTGTGTTGGAAGTGGAAGTCTAATTAAGGACTGACTGTATTTATGGATTTACTTTAGAGAGAAACTAACAGTGCCTGCTCATAGATGGGCTGTGGGAGAAGAACAGAAAGGAGTCAATGATGACTTCAAATTTTTGACCTAAGCAACTAGAAAATTTTCACTGACATTGGCTTAGACTGGAAGAACCAGCAAAGAAGCAAGTTTGGAGCCATGGAAATCAAGAGTGAATTTCAGGATATTATTTTTAAATGCATTTTAATTATCTACAATGTGAAGTTGAATAGGTCATTTACTAGTTATTTCTGAAGTTCAAAGAAAAGGTTTAGGTTACAGTCAGAAACCTGGGGTTCATAATTCATGTGTGAGATGAAATGATTGGGTTATGGGAGACTTAACCTCATCAGTGCCTGAGTCCTCTGATAGGGATTAACTGGGTGGTAACTGTGAGCAGGTAGGGTATAGCTGGAGGAGAAGAGTCTGTGTATCTCTCTCTCTCTCTCTCTCTCTCTCTCTCCATCTCTCCATCTCTCCATCTCTCCTTCCTCCCTCTCTCCCTCTCTCTCTCTCCCCTTCCTGGTTCCATGTCCTAACCTGCTTTTCTTCTACCATGATGTTCTGCCTCACCTCAGGCCCTGAGGAATAGAGTCAGCCATGTCCTGAGACTTCTGAAACCCTGAGTTCCAAATAAAAATTTCCTCCTCTATAATTGTTTTCTGTCATGTCTTGATCACTGTGGCGAAAACACTGATTAAAACAATTGGTTACTACTTGAAAACATGAGATTCATACTAGGGAATAAGTGTATATGGAAAAGTTGCCCAAGGCCAGAGACTGAGGCACTCCTATATTTGGAGATGAGACATTCAAATCTACCAAAGAGGACTGAGGAGTGATTAGCAAGGTAAGAGGTGGGAGGATAGAGCAGGTCCTGGAAACCAAGCAAAGATAGTGTGTCCACAAAAGTTGCTGAGAGAGACAGTACGTCAAGGTCTGAGAAGAGATCAATGAGTTTAGCAATGAGATGTCACTGATTGGAGCGGTTTCAAAAAACAGAAGGGAGGCACTAAATGGGACCTAGCTTTCCTTCAAAAATTGTATTTCTCCTTAAAAAGTTCTTCAGTATCAACACTGAAGTTCCTGTTCTATGTACAGAACAGAGTCTTGTTTCTGTGTTCTCTTATGTTTGCCTAGATGTGGAGTCTTATAAATGCTCCATTAAATGTCCTGGTTAAAACTTTCTTCCCCACAATCCATACCAAGCATCCTGAACCTTCCAACTCTGCCCTCAATCTAGTGTCCCCAGGAGCCCATCCAGACCCAAACTGAATACTGAGTTCATAGTTATCTCCTAATTACAGGGAATATAAGCCTTGAGGATACCTATGAGTCCTCTCTTGCCTTGGTCACCTAGTTCTCCTCTCCCAGTTTTTCTTCTTTCCTGTCATCTTCTCTATCTAATCAAGATATCAGTGAGATATCTCTGTGGTACAGTGACTTTCTCCCTAAACCAGCAAGAATGCCTCAGCCTCCCAGATGGATCTGGCCTAGGTTGATCCATGGAAGAGAAGATGGATCAATCTACATCTTCCTCCCTAGGAAACTCCGCAGCTTACTGACTGCTGAATGGTCTAAGAAAATGTGAGCTGAATGGATAAAAAGTGGAAGAAGACTAAGAAAAAGGTAGCTTTGGTAAGCATTGCCTCAACCCCCCAGAGCCACAAAAACACTTCATCACACACACACACACACACACACACACACACACACACACTTCAGCACTACTGATGGAGCACATAGAAAGGTAACTGTACACCATTTCTTGTTCCCCTCCCTAGACACCAAAAGCAGAAAGCTCTCAGATCCAAGCAAACTGCAGAAGGAGATGCTGGAAGCTGAGGTGGCAACTTCTGAGTCAAGTCCCATAGGAACAGATACTGGATAGGACTCACAAGGAAGGGCAACATCAAGAAATCTTTGTGGAGGGGAGGCAAGAGAAGAGAGGGTGCAGCCCCAGAGAACAGCTGGCATCTCCACAAAAGGTGAAGTTCAGGGAATATAAACTTTAGTGCCACAGACCCTGGGATCAAGGCAGACTATTTTTTTAAAAGGGGAGTAGGTGAATGGGGTATCTAGGATCCTTTATTTGATGTGTCTCCAGAATTAGGATTAAGATGGTTAGTTGATTCTGTCACATTTTCATCCGAAACTATGTGAAATGATGATTATGATGTAAATACCATTCACCAAATAACATTCCAGAACCTGAGAGAAGTTGAAAAAATCTATCCAAAGAAAACAAAGCAGAGAGCATTCACACAGTTAGAGGAGGCCTCAGCTAAGCTTAAAGGAGCAGCTAGGACTCGTCCCCAAGACCTGACTTCCTATTCTGAACCACAGAGAAGGCCTGACCAACCAGAGGGACTGTGCTCAGTTCCTGTTGTTGTTTCAGGAAGCAGCTGTGCAGAAACAGTCCCATTTCAATTATCGATGTCCCTGTGATTGCCACAGACTTGGGAGGGACACCCACCTTCCCTCATGACAAAGAAGCTTCATTTGCCCCTATGCCAAGACATGCAAATGGAAATATCTGTCTTGTTGCCTGACTAAATTTGAATGTTTAAACAAAGTGTCAAATCGACGATGAGATCTGCAAATAATTTAACTGAAACAGTTCTGTGGTTAAAGAAGTTGAAGAGGAAGACAAAGTTAACTGACCCATCCCAGAAGATGAAAGACTTTAAGGAGTTTGAAAAGAAATCTGAGCACACTCAGCAGAGCATGCTTCCCAGTCAGTCTCCCTGGAGAGGAGGCAGTGATTTCTGGGACAATGGTTCCTTCCCTATGTATATTGGGAACAAAGCTCTAGAAAGGATTCCTATCTCACTTTCACGAGGATATTGATGGATCCTCCACCTTGTTGAATCTATGATCCAAAAGCATGTGATTTAGTGAAACCCTCCTCACCCTTCCCACACCATCTCCAGTTCAGTGAAGGAAAGAAAGAGCCGGGGGAGACAGGAAAGAGTTTTCAATAACTAGTGTGTGTGGTCGAGTGGGGGAGGAGTCCCCGATATCTCAGCACTACAGTTGGGTTTACACGATGAAGTACAGTCAGTGGAGACTCTCTAAACCAAAAGTAGACACATGACCCAATCCTGATCATTAAAAGAACTCTCCATAGTTGGCCTCATGATTAGTTCAGAGGTGGCTTGTAACCCAAATCAATCCAATGATAGACAATCTGAGATTTTTGCTGGGGTTAAGGGAAATAGTCACTGTGCTAAAAACAGAAGCCAAGAATTCATTCTTGCTCTAAAAGGAGGGAAATTTTCCTGCAGCAAAATAACCGGGGGATGACAAGCAACTTGTGTACATTGATACAGCAGGAGTGGGAGCCGTTTATTGTAGGACAAGAAGAGTATATATACATTACACACAGCTTATCTTAATTAACATAAACTAGATACAGCAGTCAACCAATAAGGAATCTCCACACTTAATGGCTTGCTGGCGTTATTTCACAAACTACTCCCTCTGGAAAAATGTCAGGTGCCATCTTGACTTGTTTACAGACCCTAACACTCATTATTATCCAATGCATTTTCCCTTCCCAGGACTTCCTTCTCTCTGCATTGTAAGGGAACAAATAAGACAAGTATCACCTTTGACTTGATAATTAACTTCTTTTTTTTCCATTTATAAATAATATCCTGAAAAGTAGGGAATTCACATGCAAAAGCAAGGTTTTGTTCAGAGAAGAAAATATTCAGAAAAGATTGAGCAAAAAATTGATCCAATAAATCGAGAGAGTAGGAAACAAACACCATAAGACATCAGAGCAGTTGCCCATTATAAGCTTTTCCTGAGTTGGAACTAGAAGAGAATTAGAGAGGATAAAACTAGATTCTAAATGCTGCCTGGGTTCTCTGAGAAGGAGCTCAACTAGGGAAGTAGGCAGATGTTTTAAAACCCAGAGGGGCAGAGGAGTATATGAAAAAGACAAGGATTGGCCAGGTGAAATGGCACACACCTGTAATCCCAGTGGCTCAAGAGACTGAGGCAAGAGGATAGTGAGTTCAAAGCCAGCAATTCAGCAAGGCCCTTAGCAACTCAATGAGACCCTGTCTCTAAATAAATTACAAAAAAAAAAAAAAAAGGCTGGGGATGCAACTCAGTGGTTAAGTGCCCCTGGATTCAATCCCTGGTACCAAAAAAAAAAGAAAGACAAACAGACAAGGAATTGCACCACAATTCCCAGGCATAGCTGAAAGACTGCAAGCCCCTCAGAGAAGCCCTTAATTGCAGCACAGAGCTTGTGGTGATTTTTAAATATGCCACAAGTATCCTCCTTTCAAAAGTTGCAGCCAAATTTCCCTGCCCTTGGACTTAGTGGCTCGCTTCCAATAAACAGATTGTGGTAAAAATGACTGTATGCAAATTCTGAGACTAGGACATCATTAAATGCATTATGGCTTTCTCCTCATTCTCCCTCCCTTGAATCACTCATTCCAGAGAAGTTAGCAGCCACATCATAAGGATCCCGAAGGAGCCATATGTAGAGGTCTACACAGCAAGAAACAACCAGCAAGGAACAGGACCTCCTCCTAACAACATGTGAGTAAGCCTTCTGAAAGAGGATATTTTCACCCCAGTCAAGTCTTCAAATGATTGCAGCCCTAGCTAAAATCTTGACCATGACCTCTTGAGAGACCCTGAACTATAATCACCTAGCTAAACTATTCCCAAATCCTAAGCCACAGAGAGCACAAAATAAAATTGTTTCAAGCCACTATGTTTTGAAATAATTCTTACCAGCAACATATAACTAACTGATGGATCACAGCAAATTGTCTGGCAGTAATAGCTATGGAAAATAAGCAAGAGATAAACCTGAAGAAAAGAGCAGACCCCTCAATCATTGCTGGTTGTTTCAAGATCCACACATACTATGCTGTCAGCCAAAGGGCAAAACAAGCATTTTTCTTCCTCTAGGGGACATTCTCAAACACTGATACCAAGGCAAGAACTGGGGGTATCAGAAATAGAATACAAAACACTATGCCAAGAGATCTGGCCTAACCAGCTGTGCCTTAGCTGGTCTTAGCAAGCAATATCCAAGATCCAAATGAGATGAGATCCTCTGAGCAGGCACGGTGACTAAATGACAGTGACTGACCAGAGGACCTGCCATACCCAGGTGTCTAGCTGTGAAAAGGAAAGAAGAGAGACAAAGTATTCCAAAGGCTAACAAACTGAGAATGTGAGAAGTTTTAAACTAAAAATGACAGTTACCTTTGTTGGGTGAGTTTAATTTACTATCAAGGAGAATCGTTTGTAAGCAAGTTGTATTTAATTATAGAAAATAAAATTATGTCCTTGCATATCAAAATGTGACTATAAATTTTAAATCCACTACATGTTTATTATTATGAAATATTTCAGACATACCAAAATACAAAGAAAAATAAAATGAATATCCACATACCTGTCACCTGGCCTAAGAAATAATAACATCAAGTCCCCTATCTGCTCCCTGATCATATTCCCACTCTATGTCCATAGATAAATGCAACCCTGAATTTTTTTTTATTTAGTTTTAGATGGCACTTTATTTTAAAATCTGATCTGCCAGTTTGGCGTTTTCAAACTCATGGAGCAAAACCTTCACAGGTTTGCTTTTGCTTGTGGAAGCCTTAGCAACAGTCATTGCTCCCTTTTCAAATGCCTGCTTAGCCTTTTTTGCTTCCATGGCAGGCCTGATAGCTTGCTCTTGTTGAGCCTTTCCAACTTCTGATTCCTGATTCCTCAGCCATTCCATCAGCAGGAGAGACATCAGTGATGACTCTCTAGAATTTGAATGCATATCAGGCTCACTTTCTTCTCTGGAGGACAGCCCAGTTTATCTGCTGAAGAAGGGAACACCAACTCACATTTTGCATTAAGAAAAGTGGAAAACCTGGGCTGGGGTTGTGGCTCAGCAGTAGAGCTCACTCACCTAGCATGTGTGAGGACCTGGGTTCAATCCTCAGCACCACATAAAAATTAAAAAATAAAGGTATTATGTCCAACTACAACTAAAAAATATTTATTAAAAAAAAAGTGGAAAACCTTCCTGTCAGTCCTGGCACAGAGTCTCCCCTATCCGTGTTATACCTTGAACCCACTAAAACTACACAGCCCAGCTTGCCCTTCATGGCTGCAGCTACGGAGAGAAGACTGATGGTGAAGAGGAGAGGATCCTATGAAGAGTACTAAGCTCTACTCTGAATTTTCTATCATTCCCATGCATTACTTTTTACTTTATAAATTTACTCATCCCAATAAAAATAGTATTGTTTATTTTTAATCATCAAATAAATGGAATTATAGTATAAGTACATTTCTACAGTGGTTTTTTGTTTTGTTTTGTTTTGTTTTGTTTTTGCTTAACATTATAGTTGTGAGGATATATCAAGGAAAGGGAGATTCTGACAAAATCAGTCTAACATGATTCTTGCTAAAGATAAACCACGGTTACCAGATATCACCTGGGGGTGGTGATAGAGGATGAAGGACCTAATAGTATATTGCAAGTGACTAGATATGGAGGGGAAGGGATTCTTGCTAAATTGACTTAGTAGGGCTTTTTGTGAAAACTGGATTTTACAAGTACAAAAATAAGCCTAAAAGAAGATTCATAAGTCTGACTAGGGCTGGGGTTGTGGCTCAGCAGTAGAGCACTCACCTAGCATGTGTAAGGCCCTGGGTTCAATCCTCAGCACCACATAAAAATAAGTAAAATAAAGGTATTGTGTCCAACTACAACTAAAAAAAAAAGTCTGACTTAAGTTTGACCAAGCAAAACATCTTCATGATAGCCTTAGTCCCAAAGCACTCTCTGCTTTTTGGTCTCTAGAGATTTCCTTTATTTTTCTGGATAATCTCACAATGCATTTAAATGGAGATATGTTAAATTCTATCCAACATATCCAGGAATTTTATATTTGGAAATGTTTCAGGATCACTGTAGTGTTCCTTGCACATGTTATTCTATTATCACTCAGCTTGCAATAGTATGGTGAGGAAAGACTAAGTAGGGATACCTATTAGAAGCCTATTACAAGAATTTAGAAAAGAAGAATAGCTGGAATGAAGGTTGAAGTGGCAGACACAGAGAGAAAGCTATCTGGGAGATATTTAGTAAGTAAAATCAAAGGTTTTCAGGCAACCAAGAAGAGATCTCTAGTGGGAAGTTTTCTATAGGAGTCAAGAGGTCAGAGGACAAATCTGAATTGCACAGGAGTTTGGGATGGGGGAGCTACTGTACAAAACTATTAAATGAACTCAGATGTAGATATTTGTGAGAAAGCACAGGATGGGTAAAGAAGTCCTAAGACCCAGCTCTGAGGAATACTAATATTTTAAGAATTTAAAGGAGATAAAGCCAGCAATGGAGACTGAAGAGTTAACAGAAAGGCTCAGAAGAAAGTGTGGTTTTTCAGAGAGGTCAAGGAACAGCATTTCTAAAGAGAGAGAAGTTGGTAGGTGCCCAGTGATTCTGAGGTCAAGAAAAATAATCAAAAAACTAGGCGTTAGATTTGGTGACACACGGGAAAACTGTGTTCTTGGAGAGGGGAAATGAATGACAAAGGCAGAAAACAGACCGTGTATTGTCAAGTACAAAATAGAAAACACGTGTGTATATATGTCTGCGTTTGGCCGGGGATTGAACCCAGGGATGCTCCACCATTGAGCTATATCCCCAGTTTGTTTTGTTGTGATTTTTTTTCCCCAATTGTCCAGGCTGGCCTCGAATTTGTAATTCTCCTGCCTCAGCCTCCCCAATCGCTGGAATTACAGGCTTGTGCAATCGCACTGGGCGGAAAACACTTTTGAGCAGAAGAGCTATGAAGGTAAAGAAACAGAAGATGGGCCGGAGAAAACAAAAGGCTGGAGTGGATCAAGAATGAGAGGAATTTTGTAACTGACGAGACCAGAACAGTGAGAAGATAAAATAGGACGAGTAGAAAAAAAATCCCTGTCAGCGGGTGTATTCCTGACCCACCTAACCAACCGGATTTGCAGACTTCTGCGGTTTCAGTAGTTTTGAGCTTCAGGTCTCAGTTTTTATTGGTTTCTTTGGGCGATGAGTGAGATTGAACTTCCTTCCTCTGCCTCTTTCCCCGCGCTACGCCTCCCGGTAAAATTCAGTGTCTGTCTTTCTAAATTCTTCCGGGTTGCTGGGCAGGGCCACGCCCAGTCTCGACCCTGTCAGCTCCCAATTGGAGCGCGTTTTCCAAAACACGCATGCGCAGAGGGTCATGGTCGCGTCGAGGGAAGGAGGGGGAGCTTTAAATCTTGCGCAGGCGTATTAGGATCTGATCGCTATGCGGGTGCTTGTGGGTGAGGGAGGGAAGAAAGGGGGAGTGGGGGGCGGCTTACCAGAGATGGAGGGTTGGGAGGCCTTGCCGAAAGGGCACAGTTTCCTCCACAAACAACCTGACCTTAGTCTCCTAGCCCGAAAAGCCAAACCTCCCTGACCCCTGTGACCTGTGTCTCCTGTCTCGAGGGGAGAGGAGGGGAAGCAAAGCATCAGCCTTCATCCCCGAGGCATAAACAGTTTGTATTCTCTGATCAGGTGGTGGAACGGGCTTCGTTGGAACAGCCCTAACCCAGCTGCTGAAAGCCAGAGGCCACGAAGTGACATTGGTCTCCCGACAGCCCAGACCGGGTCGGATCACGTGGGTATGCCCAACCCCTAGAAACTGGGTAGGGAGGCAGTTTGTCAGCACTGGGCGGGGCCCGCAGGCACAGTAAGCTTTTCTCTGACAGGATGAGCTTGCTAGATCTGGGCTGCCCAGCTGTGATGTCGCTGTCAACCTGGCAGGAGAGAACATCCTCAACCCTCTCCGAAGGTCAGTTGGGGCCCTAAAACAAATAAAATATCCCCAGAGCAGAAAGAAGAGAGGGTACAAAGGAACCCTGTAAGCTGGAACTAATGGAGCTGTCAGAATAAGAACTGAAGATATACTAGACTATTCATCCCATCCCACCCCATCCGTCTATGCCCACCTGCTCCCCTACCCAGTCAGCCAGTTGATTTAACTTCTCATGTATAAAATGCCCAGGGAAGATATGTCTTTTCCACTTTCAGTACACATGAACCATTTTTCTTTAGCCACATGAGGATTTTACTAGAAATTGGTATAGAATAAGTCCCAGAGACAGAGAGGGGAAGATGTGTGTATGTATTTAGTGGCTTTTCATTTCCTCTTATTTTTCCTGCAGGTGGAATGAAGCTTTCCAAAAAGATGTTCTCAGCAGCCGCCTGGAGACCACCCAAATGCTAGCTAAAGCCATCACCAAAGCCCCACAACCCCCCAAAGCCTGGATCTTAGTCACAGGTGTAGGTATGCCCCTAAATCACCATCCTCTTACATTAGCCAAGGGAAATGGGGTGCAGATTAAGAGGGTAGCTCAGCCCTTATAGCTGTATACACCTTGGAGAGCTGCTCATTCCCAGATATGGTAAATTCTAGGCCCTGGATCCATGCATGTTTCTCCTGACCTGTGTTCTTTCACTGAGAAATGAAGAATCTCAGAGAAAGAGGGGGAGTGATACCATTCCTAAGGCCAAGGAAAAGTCCACCTCCTCCCAAGTCCCTTGCTTTTCATACCACAGTTCTTTAGGAAGAGCTCTTGTATTTCATTATGACATACATACCAGCCATGATTCTAAGTGTTTTATACATATTACATTGTTGATCCTCACAACAACCCTATGAGGTAGGTACTATTATTTCCATTTTTAAAGATGAAGAAATTCCATACAGAGAGGTTAAATAATTTGTCAAAAGTCAGAGCTGAATTAAAACTCAGGCAGTCCCATGTATTCTATTCTTAACCACTATTATGCTAGCAGCCTCTGAGAGTAGCCCTGCAACCAAAGTTGAGAGTTCTTCCAAGCAGGACCAAGTCAGGTCATAAAGAAGCTCAAGGGGAAGGTATCCATGGCTTTCTTCTCATGGGGTCTAATAGGAGAGGCCAAGTGGAGTCTTGGCTGCCTAGTCTAGGACTATGCAGGAAAAAGACAACCAGAACAAATAAGTGCTTTCCAACAGCTTACTACCGTCCCAGCCTGACTGCAGAGTATGATGAGGACAGCCCAGGAGGGGATTTTGACTTTTTCTCCAACCTCGTAACCAAATGGGAAGCTGCAGCCAGGCTTCCTGGAGATTCTACACGCCAGGTGGTGGTACGCTCTGGTGAGAACCAAGGGCCTGGGTCCCAGAAAGGGTGGAATGGCTTCTCTAGGCTGTGGTTAGGGAGAATATCCAAGGAGCTAAATTTACAAAGAGAGTATGCCATCACTCTCGTCAGTCTGCGGAGAGGAGAGTAGAAAGTCTAAGGAGAGCCTTAACCCTCAATTCTTATTATAGAACTGGGTCCACACGGGGAGTAAAGAAGGGAAAACTGAGAAATGGGAACAGCATTCAGGCTGCTTCAAGGCTAAAAGGACTCCCTATACCATCTCTTTTGCCTGTTCTAGGGGTTGTGCTAGGCCGTGGAGGTGGTGCCATCGGCCACATGCTACTGCCCTTCCGCCTGGGTTTGGGGGGCCCCATCGGCTCAGGCAACCAGTTCTTCCCCTGGATTCACATCCAGGACCTGGCAGGAATCCTAACCCATGCCCTTGAAGTAAATCACGTGGAGGGCATCCTGAATGGAGTGGCTCCAGCCTCCACAACCACCAATGCTGAGTTTGCCCAGGCCTTGGGCACTGCCCTGGGCCGCCCAGCCTTTATCCCTCTCCCTGCCACTGTGGTGAGAGCTGTCTTTGGGCGAGAACGTGCCATCATGCTGCTAGAGGGCCAGAAGGTAGTTCCGCGGCGAACACTGGCCACTGGCTACCAGTATTCCTTCCCAGAGCTGGGGGCCGCCTTGAAGGAAATTGTAGCCTAAGTAGGGAGGTGCATAGCAGGAACAGAAGCCCATCTCTCAGCAGAGTCTTCCTGTGAATTGGCTCAGGTGGTCCTCTACTTGAGATTAAAAACTGATCTGGATCATAAGAGATTTTGTTCCCATTCTTCTTTCTTCTCCATTGTTCTTGCACCTTGTTTAATTGAGAAACTCTCCATAGTTTCAAGATTATAATCTCATCAAGTTAGGACCTTAACTTTTTCCACTCCTTGTAAAAGAATTTCCAAGTTTGGTTTATGTGCTACATTGTTGTCCCAGTTCTGTGTAGAAAATGCTCTGTAGTTTTGGCAATAAAGATAAATTATCTCTCTAGCTTCTGGCTCATCCCTTTGACCTAGATTCTCCTGGAATTTATTTCAAGGACTGTCACCCCAGATGATTCATTTCTCTACATAGAGTTTTGAAAGTTATAATAGGCAACATCTCTCCTCACCTTTTCTCTTCTTGGTCCCTCAGTAACCAAAAGACCGGGTCACAGTTCTGGGGCATGAAATTATGATGAAAGTAGAGATTAGAAGACAAGAGAAATGATAATCCATTTCCAGTGAGTTTTGTGGTCATCCTGCACACCCATTCAGAGTGCCATTAGGATGCCAGCAGAGGAAGAAATGAAGCCCCATTGTAGGGCAACCTCCAACCTGTGTCATCAAATGGTGAATTAATAAAAGCAATCACATGTTGTTCCCAATTTATCAAACTGCAGTAGAACACGAAGCCCAGGATTTGCCTTTCAACTAATGGGGGCCACTTCATTCTACCAAGGCCTTCAGCACAAAAGGGTAGAAAATACTTCTGTTCTCTGGGTATTCTCACAGTCATAGAAAGTAAAAAGGGCAGAGAACCAATCACAAACAACAAACTTGACCCTATTAGGAAGAAGTAAATCCCAAGTGTTCATCTAGTATCCTTCTAATCTACCTGAATTTGATATCTGCCACAGCTTAACCAGAAGTAATCCTCCCAGCTCCCAGTTTGGACCATATTAACCCATCATCTCCTTTCTTCCCAGGGTACTGTAGATTGTCTGAGTCATTGTTACTTCCCTAAATTCCCTGCACAGGTTAGGGAGCCGTGCAGCCACAGGGAGACACACCCTAGATTTTGTCTAAATACTTTTTTCTCCAAAGAGCTTTCCTCCATGATCTCATTTCTCCTCCCAACAGGTAGTTTACTTCTGATTTACAGGCCAAGGTCTCCAACATACCTGCTCCTAGTATAAGTCAATACAGTCTAGGGATATAAATCACCACTGGGGACACAGGCAGACACTGGAGCCTCCTAGGGACCCTTCTCCCTCATTCTGCTCCCCATGCAGTACACAACTTCCTGTGTCAGTCAGGAAAGCAGAGGAGTGAGCCTGAAAAGGTTCTTATTCAGGGAGACTGGGGGCCCAAACAAACAGAACTCAGGGTAACTGTCTTATCTTTTTATTTGGTCTTGGACTCTAGGAAAGTTGACTATTATTCCTGGGGGAAGGAGCAGTAACATAAAAGCATAGTTTAGGCTACACTAGAAGTCAGACTACTGATTAATACTGTCCCCAGGAGGAATGTGCTGCCTTGCTGGGAGAAAATGCCCCAGAAGAAGAAGAATTCAAACAGACACAAGGCACTGTCCTGTGGGATCAGGATGGAAAAGAACATGTTATGATGGACAATGGGTTTGGTCTTGTGGCCAATCAGATCCTTCCAACTCTATTCAGTTTTAATTTTCTAGATAATTGGTTCATCTAATAAAACTTTCATAGCCCTCCCACCTCCATACATACACCAAACAGAACTGTGCCTTACTTTAAGCAACCTATGTCTTCCACAAAGAAAACTTTAGGGGCCAATCACATCTACATTGTCATTGCACAGCATGGCTTCATCAATTTGGTGAATGCTGTCAACATTTCAGCTAGAGGATCTAACTGGGCTTTTTGACATATGTACTGTAAACAAACCCTTGAATATAACAGAAGAGCTGCCATTTATAGGAACCCTGAGAGTATTTCGGTAATGCAAACAGTCAGTCCTAATTGAACTATCTTGTAAATGTGGACTTTAAAGGTTGCCCAAAAAGGATGCAGCCATTATAGGGCATGTTATACACGGACACAGTGTTAAAATCTAGGGCATGGACCCTGGACATGGAGGACACACATCTCTGAAAGTGAGGTTTGGTTAGGGAGCCTGTGCAGCCACAGGCAGACATACCTGAGACTTTGTCTAAGTACTTTCCTCCAAGGAGCTTTCCTCTATGATCTCATATCTCCTCCCAACAGGTAGTTTTACTTCTGATTTACAGGCAGAAGTAAAGGCCAAGCAGCTCAAGGTCACAGGCAGGCATATCTGGACTGGAAAGCAGGTCTCCCTCTGCCTTTGTCACCAGCTCATTACTACTTCCCCGCAACCCAATACTCTATAGCCCCTCCAGGGTCCAAGATTCCCTTTGACACTCCCAGGAGACAGCCCAGCCAGCACAGCCTCCTGTCCTCTGGCCAACCAAAGCAGCAGCAAGGGAGAGGAAAGACTCAGCTTTGCCACCTCTGGCCCACCCTAGCCTCTGCCCAACTCAGCCACAGTCCCAATCTCCAGGATTTACCCTTTCTTGAAGCCCTGTGTTAAAAACAAGGTTGAAAAGTTAAAGCTGAGCAGACCTCTTGAGAGCTGGCTGCGGTCTTCTCTTGACATTGGGTCAGTTTGTGGATCTGCCCCCAAAGGGCCCAGGCAAGAAATGTCCCTCACTTACATATTCTTCCCCAGTGCTTCCCTGACCCAAATCACCAACTCAGAGTAAGCCTGGGTCAGAGTATGAACAGCAGAGGGACTCTCCCAGAAGGTTTTGTGCTGAGGGAGGCTAAACAGGGCAACAGCCACAAAAGCAAGTAATGCTCAAAAGTTGAGACCAAGCAGGGCCTCAGACAGTTGGTTGATGTCCCGACAGTATGGTTCCCGCTGCAGGATGAAGTCCACCTTGTGATCCTGACCCCGGAACACCTCCAGCAGCTGGCGCCGGAGCCTCTCGGTCTCCCGGGTCTTCCGAATGCCACCACTACCTTTTTCCTCTTCCCTCCCCTGCTGCTGATTACCATGTTCTGCAAAGGCCCTGGAAGGATTCTGAGCCTTAGAAGATCCCTGTTTCCTGGGAAGAAGCAGAACAAAAAGAGGTGATGAGCATCTAGAGGAAAAGTAGCCCTCAGTGCACCTCCTCCTCTTAACTAGCCTGCCTATTCTTGACTCTGGGAGAACAATTCTTAAGTTCCCTAAACTGACCACTGAGTGGCAGTATCAATCCACTTCTGAAAGGAAGATAGACCCTTTACAAGGTGATCCTGGCCATTAATAATGTAGTTCTAGCCCTAAATTAACCACTTACTTAATGGTCCAGCAGAGAGCATGCTAAATACAACTGACTATTAGTACAAACAACCATTTTCCAAAGAACTTCATCAAACACATTGACATTCCTGAAACAGGAGTTTCCCTCCCAACCAGGACTTGTGTGTCAGGATTCCCTACAGAGGTTTTATTTATTTATTTATTTTAATGATTTTTTTTTTTAATTGTAGATAGTCACAATACCTTTATTTTATTTGTTCATTTTTATGTGGTGCTGAGGATCAAACCCAGTGCCTCACACATGCGAGGCAAGCGCTCTGTCACTGAGCCACAAGCCCAGCCCCTTACAGAGGTTTTAAAGGCCATGTGCAAAGCAATTCAAACTACTGTAGAATGAAGCTGTCCCAAACTGAAGTCACCCTCCCACTCAAGTCTCCAGGTCTGCAGAGAGAAGAGAGCTCAGAGCTGCTGGCAGGGAGTCTAGGGCATTACCTGGCTGGCTTCTTCAGGAACTCATCCAGGGTGGGGCCATTTCGCCCCAGGGGGTCATCAGGAACCATGAAGTGGTTTCCCACAAAGGTGAAAGGCAGCAAGCTAGATGAAGAAGAGAAAGAGTGGTCACAGAGAGGCCCTTATCCACCTTCAGAGACCTGAGACCACCACTACCAGAATCTCCTGGCTATCATCCTTTCAGGCAATTTCAAGCCCCTTCCCAGAGTTCTCACCCAGTGGCCAGAGGAGAGCTGCTTTTAGAGAAAGGTCTGAGTCCGTGCCCTAGTCTCAAGGGAGAGCTCCCTCACCGCTCTCTGATGATTGCCATCCACTTGTCAGACTCCTCTGCCAAGTCCCGGAACTGGTCATTGGAGACAATGATCCCGTTGGTCTCTTCTGCCAGCTTCACCATGAACCTGTCTCAAAAACCATGGCAATATTCCAGGAGTCTTCAAGGCCCAGAGTATTACCAATCCCTGTGACTTACTTCTGGGGATAGAGAAATGACGTCCCTACCTCACACTGACCGCTACAGGTGACTTACTGGATACGGGTGTCATAGGTTAGAGCAGAAATAAAGATGAATCCTAGGTGGTCCCCCAACAGCATCCCATCCACTAGTCACAACCCTTCACCCAACATTTTGTGCCTCATTTGTAAGAGACAGATCTGGTACTGACTCTGTCTTCCATCCTACCCAACCAATCACTTAAAAATCCACTATGTTCATCCTCAGAAAAGCCCTCCACTCTGGAAGCCCCCTTCCTTCCTTACCACCTTAGTAATTCAGATGTTACAGGTGAGATACCACATAGCCTCTTCACCATTCACCTACCTCTCATCCTTCACCACCTTCCTGGTTCGCCTGCCCACCCGCAAGAAAACATGCTCTTTCCCTGTACAGAGCTCTTCCACACCTGCCTTCATCTACTAAGTCCACATGCTCAGGCCTGGCAGCTAAAGCCCTCTAGAATCCAGTTCTACAGCACCCTCACAGACTTCTCTCTCCCATTATTCCCTGATGTGCCCTCAACTCCAGTCAAAATCAATTATCAGATTACACCCTGCTCTCTAAACATGACCTGCACTGTCTCTGACTTCATGTTTCTCAAACCATTCCCTCCAACTGGAAAGTGTTCCCCAAACCTTGCTGATAAACACAGTCACCGGGGGAACTTTAAAAAGGTAAGCCAGGCATGGTGGCGCACACCTGTAATTCCAGCGACTCAGGAGGCTGAGGCAGGAGGATTGCAAGTTTGAGGCCAGCCTCAGCAACTTAGCAAGGCCCTAAGCAACTTAGCAAAGACCCTGTCTCACTAAATAAAAAATACAAAGGACTGGGGATATTATTCAGTGGTAAAGCACCCCTGGGTAAAATCCCTAGTACCAAAAAAATATTGATGCCTGGTGTCTCACTTTAGCAATTCTGATCCCATCACATAGATTCATGTGGTGGAAAGCAGTCTTGTTAACAGTTTTAGAAACCAAGAGATCCAGCCCATCCACATCCTTCTCAATAAACAATTCACAAACTCTCCACTCCTGCAAAACACCAGTCAGAGAGGGCTCCCTTCCTCTGAGTTGCTGTAGTATCTGATTTATAAGTTTCTTTTGGCTCTTTGAAGTCAAGAGTCAGATCTTGTTCCTTCTGCAGACCATGTACCTAACATAAGCAGGCAATTAGTATTTGACAGGGTTAGGCAGGAGCAATGTCTGGTTCCGAGTTTCTGGCTAGGAAGCAAATTTATGTATAAGGTATACAGATGGTATACAAAAGGTATTTTCCAGTTAAGCATATTTTACTATTATTGCATTACATGGCATGTTGTTCATTTGTCAGCCTATGCTGTGTAGCACAGGGCTTATTCACTGTTACCAGGAAAAACTCCCAATTTACATTGTTATCTGTCCATCAGGTCCTACACAACTGCACAAACACATGCCTTTAAAAGTCATTAAAACTGACTCAATTCAGTCTCAATTCTCTTTCAGTGCTGGTGTGGAAAGAAGGTCCCATTTTAGATTCACTGTGAAATCTCAGCATAAAACAAAATTCCACTGGAAGGAAGTGGACTGCCTTTTGTAAAACAGTATTTATTCATAAGAAGTTTTTTTTTGTTTGTTTGTTTTTAGGGGGGTACCAGTGATAGAATTTAGGGGCACCTGACCACTGAGCCACATCCCCCAGACCTATTTTGTATTTTATTTAGAAACAGGGTCTCACTGAGTTGCTTAGCACCTTGCTTTTGCTGAGGCTGGCTTTGAACTCACAATCCTCTTATCTCAGCCTCCTGAGCCACAAGTGTCACCACACTTGGTTAAGTTTTGAAAAGACAAAATGTATAATCACTGCAGTTTGAAATTAACTATTTAAAACTAAATAATATCCTAAAGGACAAAGAGCCTATAGTTGTAAAATTTTTAAATTGGTTAATTAGCTTTCAAATCTGCCCTTTTCCCCACACCATGTATGTATACTGCAGCTGGAATATGCCCTGGATTTAAACTATCTGGCAGTTCTGAGGTCTATTTTTCCTTTGTTAGGGTAGTTCACCATTCTTACCCTTTGTGTCCACAGCTTTAAAACAGAGATAATATTTTATGCAACACATAATTTGGTCCATACAAGGAAATGTGATGGACTCTTGCCTACCTCATTGAGTGAGGCAAGAACACTACTTCTCTTCTTTTGATATTCATAAGGAAGACAAATGCATGGAGGAGGAACCTGAGCCAAAGAGGTTAATTCACTAAGGTATGGGCCTATAGATGAAATCAATGAGAAGTGAACTTGAAGCTCAAATTCAGATCTTTAAATTCTACATCCTATGATCTTTCTATCATACCCTGTTTTGTACAGTCCTATTGTTCACAGGCTGTGTTTCTTCCTCATACTTACTTTTAATTGTTTACTCTGGTTTCTCCAGAATGTTGGGGGAGTTTCTCTACACATTTGGAAATTTAGCTTATAAAAACACATCTGTCAGCTATTTGTGTCAGAAGCTTTCCCATCTTTCCAATAAACCAGTATTTCCTAGACAGGAAGACACTACACAAACACAAGATGTCATTCAGGTTGATGAATGAAGAAGGAATGATGAAGGGGCAAACATGGTTGTCTAAGTCAATCCCACCTCAGCTACAGGGGAGGTTTACCTAACCAGTCATAAGAGCACATGGAGGAATAACTCTCTGCCCCACTCCTGAGGCTTGGAGACAAAGCAAATGGTCAGGAGATTCTCTCCCTCAACCTCCTACTGGACTCCTTAAATAATCAAAGCTCGGGCAAGGAGGGTAGCAGTACCTGTCGTCATAGGAGGAGATCCTTTTTCCATCCATGACTCGTGAGGGAGTTAAATAATCAAAGCTCGGGCAAGGAGGGTAGCAGTACCTGTCGTCATAGGAGGAGATCCTTTTTCCATCCATGACTCGTGAGGGAGTTAGGGAGAGCAAGCTGAGGGAGTACAGCTTTTGCAGGAAGTGACTCTCTACAGAAAAAGAACAAACAGGGTTCTCCTCAAGGTGGAAACAGCCAATCCCAGGACACAGATGATCAAACCCTACTCACCTCGAACCTTGGCATCCTTACTGAAGCGCCATTGAGGCACAAAGACAGTTATGTCACGATGGCCACGGTCCCAGAAGTACTGCACAGCAATGGCAATGCCCCGGCTGGAGAAGTAGTGCTGGAGCCCATGGCTACAGGGGGAAACCCAGGTGAGGGGCCTGACAGCCTCACTGCAGTACTAGCCCCTCAGCCATGTCCCCAGGACACATAAAGATGACTGTCTCATCCTCCCTCCCCAACACCAGCCCCACTAGGTACTCACACCATGGCCACATTGCTGCCATCAATGACAATATGGCGGAGGTCTGGCTGGCCAGGCACATTGGCAAGGCACAAGGTGAAAGGATCCTTCAGGGCCTCCTGGAAACGCTGTGTGCCAGTCACTAAGTTGCCCCCACGAGTACCTCGTCTCCCAGGAAACCCTCGACCTCGAGCCACGGCCTGCTGCTTATCTCCCCGGTCTCCCCGGTCTCCACAGGGCCATGGAGGTTCGGGCGCAGGTGGAGGGCTAGGTACTCTTGGAGGTGAGGCATTTCCATTGTGCAACCGCTGAAGAAGGGAAGCTCCCCGGGTTTGAGCTGTCCTCTGACAGGGACCAAGGGCACCAGAAAACTCACCCTGGACACTAAACCCACCTCTTTCCTGAGGTACCCCCTCTTTTCCCAGGGCCTTTCTTTTCAGGGGCCCATCTTCCCCTGTCCCTCCACCTGCTGAATATGGCCTGAAAGCCACTTCTCTGTCCCAGGCCTCTTCCTTAGGCAGCTCCTTCCACCACAAATCCATCTCCTTGGAACCACCTTGTTTCCCTTGATCCTTCTCAATAGTATGACTCCCTCCCTCTGCTCCTTTTGATTCTCTGCACCCCACAGATCCAGGGCGCAACGACTCCCCACCTCCACTCTGGAGAGCCCTGACTCCCCAATGCTGAGTACTTGGCAGGTCTGGGCTTCTCCCCTGCTGTGAGGTTAACACTTGTGGCCCCTGCCCACTGGATGCCTCCTGCACTAGACTCAGAAGCTCCTCCTGAACAGCCAGGGGCAGCTGCAGCAGGGCCTCTGAGTGGACATCCTCCCAGGGCTGCAGCAAGGCAGAGAAGTCACTCAGCACTCCAGCACTCTGAGAGGCTCTGGGGCATGGTCCTGGCTGAAAGTCCCAACTCAGCCGCCCCACTAGCTCCTCCACACGGCTCTGAGCCATGACAAAGGCCTCAGTTAGGCCACTGATCATCAGTGAACCAGGTGCCTGAGGTACCAGATGGGCTGATGTGCTCCAAGCCAGACAGTCAAGGAAGAAACCCTGGGCTCCCAGGAAGATGCAGTGCAGTCTGGAGGGATAGTGGATTTCATTTTGAAGTTCAGGGCTGCAGAGACCCTTCAGGTACTCCTGGAAGGGAATGTCAGAAAAGGAAACTGCTTGAATCTACCCCTCATCATTCCCAAACTCCAGGATGCCTGCTATTTTTCCCATTTCATAAATAAGACTCTGATCACAAGGCAGGCAGGTGGTGGAGCCATATTAGAACCCCTGCCTGACTCCAAAGGAAGCAATGTGGCTGGACCTCCCCACCCCCACCCTACCCACATACAGTGACCTCCCACATACAGTGAATTCCTTGGCAGGGCCCACTTGCTCAGCTAGATTATCTCTATTCTTCAAAAGAGCACAAATAAGTCCTTGCAGAACCTGGGCTGTCACAGCAGAAATGAAACCAAAACTGAAAACAGAGCTAGAAAGTGCCTCAAAGCTCAGGGACACTGAGGTGGCAAGTGGAATGATGAAGTTTAGATCGTCCCCTGCCCCCTCCTAGAACTCTGCCTCCGTGCGGAAGGGCTCCCTGGGAAGGATCAGGGGAGGGTTCACCTTCGCTCTACTGACGTTCTCCTTGGGGCCCTCAAGTTGCAGCCAGATGTGAGGATTCTCAGGGCAGTCCTTAGGGAGGACACTCAGCCCCACGCTGAAGATGCGCTCCAAACGGGCCTGCTGCTCCCGAACTTTGTCTTCTGCCTCCGCAGACACCGCAAAGCGGTCAGGGGTTGAGGAACCAGCCCCCAAAGTAGGCATGGCTTCTTCCCCTTGTCCTGGAGGGAAGAAGGAAGCTCAGAGCCTCACTATCCCCTCAACCCAAAAGTTGATCTCCCCACCTATATCAAAGATCAACAGGTAGCACCTAGTTACAATTCTGGTAAACAATTGCTAACCAGTATCTGAGTCCTTCTTGGCAGTAGGAAGAGTGTCAGAGTATCCAAACATGGGCCTTCTATCTTCCTAAGAAGTAGTCATGGTAAACAAGGCTATCTGGGATGGGCGGCTGCCCTCTGGAGAATGACCACAGGCCTGAGCAGGAAGGGTGGGGGGGGGCAGCTCCGTCTGGAGGTAAGCAGGAATCAAAAGAGTCTCTCTCCTCGGGGTACTCTGCAATCTTCAGGTTTCAAGACTCTTAATGAATCTTCACCAGGGGCTTGTACTGAGCTGTACTCTGGGGCCCCTCATCTGCCATTTCCAAGGCTCTAGCCACTCCCACTTCTCCGCCTGCCCCTCCCCCAGCTGTCCACGCCCCACTCCGTCACGCCACGCGCCCCACCCGGGGCCCGCCTCCGCCACAGTCCCCTGCGGCCTCTGCCCCGGGGCAGGCCGTGCTCCCCGAAGCCGCCGCGCGTGCCCAGCTCCCGGGCGCCAGGGAAGGGCGCCTACCCGCCTAAGCCGCGGGCTCCAGCCTCACGTCCCGCTGGCGCCTCTTGGTACCCCAGGGCCCCAGGTTCGCCCGTGCCCCCAGCCCAGGGGACTAGGGCACGGGGCCCGAATCTGGGCGGGCCTTCCTGGGTTCCTCACCCAACGAGCACCTCGTCTCTCCACCTCTCAAACTATTTTTTGAGTCACTTCCTGGGTTAGGGCGGAGTCAGCCCCGCTCCTCCCCCGACCGCGCCTGCCCTGCCCTGGCACGCAGCCCAGAGGCGCGCTTCCTCCTCCCCAGTGCGCGCCGGGCCTTCTCTAGCCACCGCCCCGCCCCGCGTCCCCGACTCCGCCCAGTCCTGTCGCCGGCAGTTCTCTAGGCCACTCAGCCTTCTGGCTTCCCTTCCAGCTCTTGTTTGTCTCCCCGCCTTCGGGGTTCTTGCGTGTTCTGCTCATTTGTTTCTTGGGAAAGAGGAATCATTCGTTGAAAGTTTGATCCCTTGGCATGAAAATATGGAAGAACAAAAAGAGAAAGTGACTGGGCCAGGGTCACAAGATTGTGAGGCTCTTGGTGCAAGCCCTTTCCATTAAAACAATTGTGGGGAAAGACAGGACACCCCTCTCTCCTACCAAATGGAAAGGTGCTACAGGGAAGGGCTGCTGTTTTGTGAGGGGTTTTGAATAGAGGAGGAAAGGAAGGAGCTTTAGAACTGTATCTCACATGTTCACCTATATCCAATTCTCCATCACCCCAGGTGGAGCCTCCCGTACTAGTTCATCCATAGGAGCCAACCTAGAACTCTGGCTTAGCCTTTCTGTCCTGTCTTCATCCCTCTTCTCCCTCCCAGAACCCAACTGCTGTCACTTAATGTTCTGCCAAGGAGGAGGGAACTGCAATGACAGCAGGAGTAACCGAGTGGGAGGCAGGACAGAGCTGCAGGACACAGAGGTATGGAGAGGGAGGTCCAGAGGCCAGATGACAGTGAGACCCAGAGAGAGGGCAGAGGAGCAGGGTGAGGGGTAGTGAGTGCCCAGGGCAGCAGAAAGGGGGCAGAAGATAAGACACTTGTGAGCCGAAGAGGCACTCAGCCATGTTGGGAGCAAGAAGACACTGGCTGCCAGATCCCTTGCACAGCCTGGGGCTGCGCGTAGCCCTGTTGCTTCTGGCCCTGGGAGCAGGGTTGGCCCAGGAGGGGTCAGAGCCTGTCCTGCTGGAGGGTGAATGCTTGGTGGTCTGTGAGCCTGGCCGAGCTGCTGCAGGGGGCCCAGGGGGAGCAGCCCTGGGAGAGGCGCCCCCCGGAAGAGTAGCATTTGCTGCAGTTAGAAGCCACCACCATGAGCCAGCAGGGGAGACCGGCAATGGCACCAGCGGGGCTATCTACTTTGACCAGGTAACCTCCCCTCCACCAACCCTGCACCCCTGTCCAAAGAACCACAAAGACCTGCAATCAACTGTCCAAGCCCACTTTGCTGACCCTTCAAGAAAACAACTCCCTACATCTTCCCCTAATGTCGCCACTGATTGTTTCCCTTCCCTTCATACATACACACACTCCTCCTTGCCCTTTTTACTATTTTTTTTTAAATCTGTACATTTCTGTTCACTCCTGCTTACCACCTCTTCTTTCCCATACTCATTGCCCCTGACCCATCCCCAGTGTTATCCCAGAGAGCCCCACTCTGGCATCCCTGAGCCCCACTCAGCAGGATCTGCTTCCCCCAGGTCCTGGTGAATGAGGGCGGTGGCTTTGACCGGGCCTCAGGCTCCTTCGTGGCCCCTGTCCGGGGAGTCTACAGCTTCCGGTTCCATGTGGTGAAGGTGTACAATCGCCAAACTGTCCAGGTGATCTGAATGCTGGGCCCATCCCCAGCTCTTGAGGGAGGGGAGGGGGCATAAGTGGAGCACCACTGAGCCCTGGGCAAACTCTCCACTGACTTGTGTCCTGGTGGCCAGCAGCAAGCGAGGAAAGGTCCTGCCTACCACAGTGTGGATAATGTTTAGAGTCAAACACTGGCCACCCCTCAGCACTATCAGGAGAGTCCATTAAGCCCCAGGTTCTGGAGAGGAAGCCCTTGGCAAAGGGAGGGTCCTGAGCTAGGGTGTGGGGGATGGGTGCTAACTGGGCTCCCCTCCCCAGGTAAGCCTGATGTTGAATACATGGCCTGTCATCTCAGCCTTTGCCAATGATCCTGATGTGACCCGGGAGGCAGCCACCAGCTCTGTGCTGCTTCCCCTGGACCCTGGGGACCGGGTGTCCCTGCGCCTACGTCGGGGGAATCTGCTAGGTGGCTGGAAATACTCAAGTTTCTCTGGCTTCCTCATATTCCCACTCTGAAGACTCAGATCCTTCGAAGACTCAGCCCCCATCACTGCCTTCTACCCTCCCCTGTCCCAGTAAAAACATCTTTGGGACAGGAAAGTGGTTAGGAGAGTGGTTCCCTCAGATTGTCTATATCCCACCTCTTTGCATGTGCCAAATACCCAAGGTTAAGAATAGAGAAGAGCAGAGTTGGGCAGCTCAGACCTGGCCCTTCTCACAGTCCACCCCTCATCACTGGTTGCCCTTCTAGTCTCCTGCTACATTTCTTTATACCTGCAGCCCTAGAATCAGGGCAAGGTCTGGCAGGGAGAGAGACTTGCACTATTTTGCAGTTTTTGCTCCTCCTATTCCCCTATCCCAGCTTCCTGCTCATCGCTATTTGGAGACAGGTGGTGCAGGTAGGCCTGACAGGCTCCTACAGGGGCCCAGATGGACCAGCCTTAGAGTACCCTGCAGGCTCCTTCCTGTGAAGAGTGCCAACATCATGGGTCTCAGCCAGCACCGTATGGGCTGGGGTAGGAGGCTCAGCCACAAGCTAAGTATGGGGAGGGCCACAGAGCACTCCACAGGGTTCATGAGCCAGGAAGGGGCATATGCGTAGCCTAAACACAGTACATATTTTGCATTTACTGGGACAACTGTCAGGCAGGGATTCTGGCTGTACACTTATACCATGACCCAGATGGACTCTGGCCCTCATCTTCCCACCCAAGACTTGGGTGTGTATGTTTGCTCTGGCTGAGAGCAGATGTACAGAGCTGGAGATGCGGGTAGAAGGTCACACGTGGACCATGGAACACATCTATGACCATATGTCCTTTGCTTGACCACCTCCTAGAATTACTCCACCTTTGAAGTCTGAACTTAAGTCACTCCACACTCTGACCACCACCTCCTTACTCCAGCGCTCTCACTCATTTACCTTCACTGTTCCTCTTTCAACCTGTCTCCACTCTCTCTCTTATTTTTAATAATCTATACTGTCTTATGCTCCTTCTTAAGCTTCCTATTACCTGGTATTATATAATTTGTACCTTCAGCTACTCTCTGACAGTATCATAAGCTCTTGCATGCTCACGTTCACGCTCACACACACACATATACACCCGTCCCCTCCCCCCGGCCTCTTTCTCTCTCTCTCTCTCTCTCTCTCTCATCCCACTATCCCATTGGTCCAGCATGGATGAATCTATCAATATAGTAATTACAGAATGGTAATCACTCTCCCTGTAGAGAGAAGATGTATTTGGGATCAGGGATTGCAAGATAAAAGCAGATGTGGTATGTTGTAAAGAAAATAAATATAAAACTATGTATTGCAGTCAAATAAAAAGGATATAATAATATTCAAGTTAAATAAGAAATGCTGATGTGAATTTATGGTTTTAAAAAGAAATACGGCTGGGGTATAGCTTAGTGGTGGGACGATGGCTAGCATGTGTAAGGCTTTGGGTCAATCCCCAATGCTAGGAAAAAAAAATTATAAACACACATGTACACACAACTTTTTCTTTCACCATTTGGCAATAATTTATGGCCAGGAAGACTAGCTTAAACAAGATAGGAGATTCTTTCTGTCTCACATTGAAGAATCTGCAATTAAAGAGTTCAGGGATGGATGACTATTTTATGATCATCAAAGCCCAGCCTCCCTCCTCTCTTCTTGCGGTACTACTATCTTTAGCATGCCACCTCATGACCCAAGATGGCTCTATGAATGCCAGCCCTTACATTAGTCTAACAGCCCCCAGGAAGTAGGAAGGAAGAAAAGGCACACCTCTTTCTTTTAAAGCAGCATTCTGAAAGGTGCACCCAACATTTCTGTTTGTTTTGTTTTGTTTCTGCAGAGGTAGGGATTGAACCCAGGGGCAGGCTACCACTGAGCAATACCACCAGCTCTTTTTATTTTTATTTTGAGACAGGGTCTTTCTAAATTGCTGCAGCTGACCTCAAACTTGTGATCCTCCTGCCTCAGGCTCCCAAATAGCTGGAAATACAGGCGTGTACCACCACATCTGACCACACCCAACATTTCTGATTACATCTTATTGGCTAGACTTTAATCACATTTGTCCACACCAAACCAGGAAGATAGGCTAGGAAATAATCTTTTGTTATTCTAGGTAGTCATATCCAGCTCATAGTCAAGAGTTTTACATTAAGAAAGAAGGGGAGAACAGACACTGGGGAAGATAATTAGAAGTGTTTCAAAATACAAATAGGCCAGATTGATTTTGTTAATTATTACGGTAAATTTGCTGTATTAGTTTTCTATTGCTGTGCAACAAATTGTGGCAAACTCCTTGGCTTAGAACAGCCCCTATGTATTACCTCAGTTTCTATAGGTCAGAAGTCTTGCAAAGCATTGCTGCATTCTCTGCTAAGTGTTTCACGAAATCAAAAGCAAGGTGTAGGCTGGGCTGCTACCTTCCTTACTGGAAGGGAAGAATCTACTTCCAAACTCATTTAGAATTCAGTTCCTTACCGTTGTAGGAATGATTCCTTGGGCCCTCTGTTTTCCTGCCAACAACTGAGCCACTTTAATCTCTCTGATTTCAGTGGAAAAAGTTCTCTGAGTTTAAGGATTCACATGCTTAGATTGGGCACACCCACCTTATCCAGAATGATCTCCCTACTTTAAGGTCCATAATCTGAATTACATATGCAAAGTCCCTTCTGCCATATGACATAACAGACTTACAGGTTCTAAGGATCAGGGCATGGACATCTTCAAGACATCTGTGTCATACATAGTCTTTAAACGTAAAGATGACATCTTGTAGAGAAAAGACATCCAGCACAATACACTAAACTCATGGAAAATGTGTGGGCTTGAAAAGTTCAGGTTTTACCCAGAAGGTAAATCAGTTCCCAGGTCTCAATCAAGAGTTCAGTGATTAATAATCCAAAATTTCCTCAGCATTAAGATAATATTCTTCTATTTTCTAAATTAAAAATTTGGTCTGAAGTGAGGTAGTATTCATCTCTGGGGTCTATCAACCCATTTTTATAATAGTTTCAGGTGTAGGTTAAAAATTTTATACTCTTCTTGGGGCTGAGGTAATGGCTCAGAGGTAGAGTACTCACCTAGCGTGAGTAAGGCACTGGGATTGATCCTCAGCACCACATAAAAAATAAAATAAAAGATATTGTGTCAACCTATAACTAAAAAATAAATATTTAGGAAAAAATTTTATTATCTTCTTAATGATGTGTTTGCTTTTCCAAAGTGTTTAAAGCTTTTACAGGAATTGACACATTAGACTGGCAGTTCTATTGAAATATTTTAGAAGGACTCAATTTTTATGATTAATGTTTAAATAATTTCCCTTGTAACAGGTATAGATTTTGATTTGTTGTTTATATAAAGTATTCAAGTGTTTTGATGATTTCTGCTCAAGAATGTTAATGAAATATAGAGTTAATAAATAAAACCCAGGTGATGGTATGTGTTCCTCTCTAGGTACCAAAAGCTCCTCAGACTTAAAGGATCCTAAAATTAGAGTCCAACTGTTCACCTTCCCTCTGCCTGCACCATGGCAACTGAACACTACACAGGAAGGTCCCACTGATGAAGGATTCACTGTGGATCTAAATCCATAGCCTCCCACCACACCTGACCCCCAATATCCCGGGCAGTGACCCTCTGGATGCCTTTGTTAGCTTCTTTCCTCATCCTCTCTGGAATCCGCCTGCAGCCTTCTGTTCTTTCCTTTGACCTTTTTCCCTGGTTGCTGGTCCCGCTGCCAGCTGCAGACCCCCTGAGAAAACAGACTCATTTAGGCAGGAGCCTTCCCCCCATCACACCCACAAACTCACCTTCCTCCCCATCCCTGCTTCTTCCTGTCTGGTTCAGTGGAGACCAAGTCCCTCGTGCTGTCAAGGCGGCTATCTTCATCCACCAGCCATGGATTCCATTCCCTCCAAACATACTCCTGTCTTTCCTGTCCTTTCTGCTCACTCCTTCACCTCAGCAGTTTAAGAGATCAAGTCTCTTAAATCTAAAAGGGAAACAGGTATGGAAGTAGCTTTACATACAGATGCAGTTACCCTCAGCTCTGTATACACCTATGGCTGGTCAGCATCATCTCATCTCCCCCTTTGAGCCAAATATCTTACTACACATGACTGAGCTGTCCAATCACTCGTCTGTTAATCATTGTCAAACTTTGGCCTCCACTGCTCCACCTAAGCTGGCCCTCAATCAGTCACTCACAACTTCTGTCTCACTAAAGTCCACAGACACCTCCTAGTCCTCCAAACATTTGAGCCTGTTGTCCACACCTTCTTAGGAAATCACTCTGCACTGACTCTGTGACTTCCCTCCCTGGGTTCTCCCTCCACCACATGCCCATGTCCCAGCTTCTTTTTCAAAATTCTGTACTGCTGCCCTTTTCTGAAATGTTGGTGTTTCTGCCCTAGAATTTCTTCAGTTCGAATGCACTCTCAGTAGCACCAATGTCCATCCCTACACTGACAACTTCCCTGTTAACCCTATCCGGGATCTCCCTTCTAAACCTTGGAGTCACACATCAACTGTTCCTTGATAGAGACAACATGCTGAAACCTAAACTTAGAGACTTGACTCTAAATCTGCTCTCCCTTTCTTGTTCTCTTTGTCTGTATATGTCCAAACCAGAAACTGGTCTTTATCCCCATGGGCCTCCATCTCCTCATCCATATCCATTGGTTCTATTCATTACTTTCCATCCACCCTGGCTCAAACTACCAACCTCTCATCTGGATTTCTATTAAAGCCTCCTAACTGGCCCCTTGGCCTCCAGTTTTCCCTTCTCAGCCCATTCTCCATTTGGGAATTGCCATAATGATCTATCTAAATAAACTTTGCTGCTACCTAATGCCCTTTAGAAGCTCCCTGTGGGCCCCAGAATGAACTCCATATTTCTCAACATGCTTTGACAACCCTTCCCAATCCAACTATTGCAATGTGTACTGCTCCATTTTTCATCATCTACAAACATGTGAAGACCTAAGAAACAGCACCACTTAGCTGAGGGAAAATGGCACTCCTTGGAAAAGAAAGTGTGATATTTGAAAAACACAACAGGACCAAGAGAATTGTTCTTAGATCCTACAGAGGTAAACCAGGGCCTGTTTTAGTTTGTGAATCATCTTAATCTAAGCCAATGGAGATCTTTTTTTTTTAACATTTATTTTTTAGTTGTAGTTGGACACAATACCTTCATTTTATTATTTATTTATTTTTATGTGGTGCTGAGCATGGAACCCAGGGCCTTGTACATGCTAGGTGAGTGCTTTACCACTGAGCCACAACCCCAGCCCTTGAAACAGAGATCCTAACTGATACTATATAATGCCTTAATAAAAGATGGAGAGGCCATAAACTAAAGATGGGGGAGTAACTCTAAAAACAATGTGAATGTAACAGGGTGAGAGCAATGAACATAGTGGTTAAGGTGGTGGGTATAGGAGGCAGCATTCAAATTCAGCCTCTCACTTAGCAGCTGCACATGACCCTCAGTGAGTTACTTCACCTCTCCATGCCTCATTTTCTTCATCTGTAAAATGTATACATTAATCATATCTGCCACACAGGAATAGGAAACACTTAGAACAGTGCCCATCACAGAGAAAATACTCAATATATGTAAGTGTCTGTTTCCATGTGAATTAGTAGACGAGTTGAAACTTGCATATGTCCTGGGGAATCTTCCATAATCCTAAAAATGTAAGTAGAATATTTGTTTTTGCTAGTGGCCCTTTACCTGTTAAAATGTTTTCATCTTCCAGATTATGAACACAAGGACTTGGTAAATGGTGTATGGGAGAGAAGATAGAGCAGGCTTAAGAGGTCTTAACCTTTCAGATGTTTATGTATGGGTTAACATAGGAACAGGATGTCTTTATAATTTGCATTATCTTATAAGACTATCCACACACTGGCTACTTTATAATTTCTCTATTGGAGACCTGGAGAAACTCATCTGCCCATGCCCCTGCCTGTGAGAAGAAAAAATTGATAGGTGTAAACATAATAAGCAGTACCTTATAGATCTCATTATTCACCCCTCCAAAAATAGAAGGAATCAGAGACTTCTACTCACACCTTGTAATGTTCAATTTCAAAAAAGAAAAATCTCAGAAACCAGTGTGGCTAAATTCTAAATATTGCTTAACTTCATCTAGAATAGAAAATAAAGGGATTGCTGAGCCTTCTGCTTAAGAGTTCTAAACCCTTTGCTCTCTGACCTGTGCCAAGAGTGGATGTACTACTTTTGGTGAATGGGCTCCAGGAAGAATATTGGAATGGGATGTGAGCTGAGAACCCAGGCACCAGCTTCATGGACTCCTGTGCCATGAAGTAGTAAGTATGTTCCTTACTACTCTGTACCGTACTTGTTAATTCAGTTGTCTTTCTCCTTTACCCAACTATGGGCTTCAATAAGGCAGAGATTTTGTCAATCATAATACATGCTATCCACCCACACCTAAACAGAGCCTGGCACTTAGTAGGTGTACTATAAATACCAAATGAATAATGGTGTACACATGAACTGGGGAGTTCTCAGGAAAGGTAATTCCCTAGTGTCAGTCCATGCCAATGCCAGCACTAAGTAAAAAGGCAACAAAAAGCAGAGGCCAAAGGTCAGGTACCATGGCCAAGGCAAGAGGGTCTCAGAGCTCCAGGGAGGAGAACAGCAAGAGCAGGAAGCAGAGTGGTAATAACTAGCACATGGTAAGTACTTACTCCACACCCCAGCAACACACTAGCCTATTCACACAGATTATTTCATGTCTTCCTTGCACCATCCCATAATTTAGGAATTGTTGCCCTGTATATTTTTCAGATAGGGAAACAGAGCCTTCAGCAAACAGGCCATGTACTTATCCTGTTTCAGAATAGTCAATATCCAAACCTAGGTCCATCAGCTTTCCAATGTAAGTCAAGCTAGTTTGGCACTAATGCCATTCTCCTAAGCCAGGAGCCATGCATCTTCCATACACCCTGCCCACTTCCAAGACATGAACTGGGAGAATGCCAGCTTAGGGGCCCCAATCCTAGATTTCCCTCCCAGCTCTGCCGTGAACTAGTCAAGGGGGCCTTAAGCACGTCACTCCCTGTACCTGGTCTCCTCATCTCACACGAAGGGCTTGAGCCAGTGATCTTAAAAAGGCACTATCCACCTCTAGAAGTCAGTAAGTCCAACTGGAAAACAATAGCCATACCCCCAAACTGTCCCCACCCTCCTCACTGTCCAACTGAGTCTGAAGCTAAGAAAAAGAACTAAACATTGGGCTCCGGTTTAATGTTTATTGACAAATAAAATGGAAAAAAATTCATGAAAAAGGATATAAGATAAAAATGCAGTTAACAGAAACGTATACAGCTGGGAGGGTAGGGTGAGGTTGGACACAGTATTAGAGGAAAGAGAAGGCACAAGGGTGGGAGGCGAGGTATCTACTAAAAATTCTGCAGCTAAACTTTCAGTTTCTCAGCTGTCACCAAATCACTCACCCAATCACCTAATCCTGGATAGGATTAACAGCTGGACTTGGTTTAAGGATAATACTCAGGTAGTTTGTATAAAGTTTGGAAAATGGGGAGTTAGAGGGAACGTGGGCTAAGGTTTCAAAGGATTCTCTTGCCTGAACCTATTGCCGGAACACTTTTCATAGTGAACTGTGAGTCAGGAAGCTTAACCATGGTCCAAGCTCAGCCGCCGACAAGCTGTGGGCAAATTACTATCCTTCTCTGAGCCCCTTTACTGTAAAACAAGTGGGCTGGACTCAATGACAGGTTCCCTTTTGACTCTAGCACTCTGCCAAGTGTTTGGGCAACCTGAGAGAGGCCAGAAGTGTGACCTAACTTCCTCAGAAATGAAACCACTCAGTGGCCCAGCCAGAGACACTGTGCTGGCCTTCACCAAAGACTGGTTGTTCATAGCAGCAGCAATTCAGAGCGGTGAGTGTAAGCCACACTCACCTAGGAGAAACTCACTCTAACTGCCAGAGTGACGCTTGCCAAGGATGGGAACTTGGGTTTGACTCTACACAGAAGGCAGATCCAGAGGACAGGGTGGGGGTGGGGTGTCCAGACAAAGCAATCACACACGACGTGGGGTCTCAGGGTACGGTGAAGGCAGGAGTGGAGGGTAGTGGGCTTTGGAATGGTGTTGGGAGGTAAAGTCATGCCAGCACCTGACAGTGTGCCAGACGGCTCACTTCAGACACCTCCCCTACCCCACCTGCAACACAGAGGCCGGGGGCCCCTTGGTCCAGTAGAAGCAGCTCTTCAGGTAGAGATGCCACACTTGGCATCAAGATCCTTAATTCCTGTGGGGTCAACTCCATCAAAGGAGGGGCAGGAGTCGTCTCCATCAGCTGGAGTCAAATGAGGTAGGGCACTCATCCCCTCCTGCCTTTCCCACATTGACAAATGGGTGGCTCCTGG